AACTCATCTACAAAACAGAAACAGACTCGCAGACATAATAAACAATCTTATGGTTACTGGGGGGAAAAGGGTGGAAAGGGATAAATTTTGCAGTTTGAGATTTGCAAATGTGAACCACTATATATAAAAATAGATAAACAAATTTCTTCTGTATACCACAGGGAACTATATTCAATGTCTTCTAATAACCTTTAATGAAAAAGAATATGAAAATGAGTTATGTGTATATATATATGTATGACTGAGACATTGTGCTGTGCACCAGAAACTGACACATTGTAACTGACGGTGCATCAATTAAAAAAAAATTCTTTCTTCAAAAAGAAAAAAAGCAGTCTTCCATGCTGGTTCGGGCAGCGCATATACTAAAACTGGAACGATACAGAGAAGATTAGCACGGCCCCTGCGCAAGGATGACACACAAATTCATGAACTGTTTCATATTTTTTCTTTACTATCTAGCACAGGAAACTATGTATTCAATAGCTTGTAATAGCCTATGATGAAAAAGGCTACAAAAAAGAATATATATATATATATATATATACGTATAACTGAATCACTATGCTGTACACCAGAAACGAACACGACATTGTAATCGACTATCCTTCAATAATTTTTTTTTTAAAAAAGTACTCCTCCCTAAGTGTAGGCAAACAGCCTGGGGCTGAGTGTGGAACAGACTTGTCTGTACACAGTGGCCACTGCACGGGACAAAAACCAGGCTTTGCCACCTACCAAATTCCCTCAGCAACAGCAACACAGCTAAGTTTTTTAAGAATCTTCAAGAAGCAATTTTAAGAAAATTTTATAAACGTGTGCTCCTCCAGGAGGCCTACTCTACACTTGCAGCATCCCTGCGCCGTACCTCTGTCCGGCACCAGCTGACCGCCACCATCTTCCAGAACGTTAGGCTCTGCTTTAGGCTGCTGGGCGGTCAGACTGGAGAGACCAGAGCAAAGCCATAACAGCCTTCCTCTACTGTCACCTGAGGCCTATCTAATTAGGAAGACGGAAATGTATCACATACAAACGTAACTTGAGTGATGTACTGAACGGTATGTTTTGTCATGATGCGGGGAGGGTATAGCTCAAACAGTAAACTGCATACTTTGCATGCATGAGGTCCTGCGTTCAATCCCCAGTACCTCCTCTATAAATAAAGTAAACCTAAGTAACTCCTTCTCCCCCAAAAGAGAAATGTTTTGTCATGATACAAAAGGATCAACACTTCAGAAGATTGAAATTCCCAACCTTGCTGTTAATATTTTCATAACAAATGTTTTATATATGGACAAACACGCAGAGGTAGGCAGAAAACGCATGCATTTATGTAACCCCCCATCACAAACTGTCCTTCTTTCTGATGTAAAAATTTAAAGTTTTATCCTCTTAGACATGGAAGATGCATTGACCTGGGACACCTTAGAATACAGGGAATGTTTTACAGGATTTCATGGTTGTAAAGACTTTCTAGACTATGAAAAGGAATATATATATATATATCTTGCTATGCTGTACATCAGAAATTAACACAGCATTATACACTGACTATACTTCAATTTTAAAAAATGCAAAAAAAAATACTTTCTAAATATAAAGGTGCTTTAAGTGACAAGAATGACCTTAACCTCTCCGAAAGAACATCTACTCTAAAGTCCATGACACAGATTTGGTCAATGTAGTTAAGAAATAAGATGGTGGGATGGAAGAAAACAATAAACAAGTCTGTCCCCTCGGTCACCTATGTCACTATCAACAGGCACCTAATGCCCAGAGTAACAGAACCAGGTCTTCTTAAAGGGAAAGAGACATAAACACTGGAGTGCCTAAAACATCCTCATTATGCTCTTATCTCAATCAGAAGGGTCCTAATGAAAAAGAGAATGAAAACAAATAAATGCATGTATATGCATGACTGGGACACTGTGCTGCACACCAGAAATTGACACATTGTAACTGACCAAACTTCAATAAAAAAAAAGGTCCTAAAAACAGACCCCCTTTCTCTCAGCTGAGCTGGGTGTGTACACACCCTGTATGTGGGCGTGGGGCCCACTGCACTCGGGGGAACACGTGAATTCTTTTTAAAGGACTTATCAGGACTTACCCGTTTGTAAACAGGGCAGGTCCAGCAATAGGACTGTTTGCTCCCTTTCACACCTTCCTTCCTGAGAAAAAGTTCGCCAAGTTCAGTAGGTGGTTACAGAAGCACCAAAGCAGCCAACCACAAATTAAAACAAGAATTTGTGAGAATGTGTTAAAATGGCAAGAAGCCTGCAGCCCCTTTCAAGCCCAAAGATTCCGACCAGACCAACTCAAAAATTCACGAAGCATGAACTGTTACAAAGTTCCCTGCAGTATTACACTGACAAGCATCTTTCACGTGGGCTTAAATTTGGTCCACAAACAGTGTATAATCGATTTCTAACTTCTCATACACATTTCTTATTCAATCTTGGTGTGTGATTTAAAATTTCAAATTAAAGCACTTAACTCAAATCTAAGACGCCCTGTGTGGGAACTAAGCGCCTTAGAAGAGCCATGGTTGGCTTTGTTTTAACTATGAGTAATCCACATATCTTAAAAAACATATGGGAAAAAATAGAAAAATAAGTAACCATACATATCACCACCCTTACAGAAGCTGTGACTTTTGATTTTTGTCTATTTTCTTCTAACCTCTTGTCCTTGGATTGACCAAAACACCTGAAAAGTCACTAACAGCTTTTTCTTCTGATAAAGCACGGTGATTTTTTTTTTAATTTAAACTGTCCAGGAGAAAGTTTTCTTATCTACTGTAAGATATACAGATAGATAGCGAGGTGGACACACATCTTTACAGTTTTCTAATCACGTATAATTATTTAAACATTTACAATGTCACAGTAATGGAATTACGCCACACTATAGGTACGTTCATATTGCATCAATGACATCTTTCCATATCAGTAAATACCCACAAGACTCCTTTTAATAAGTCATTGTTGGCTTCCTTTAAGACCTAAGTTACGATGCCAAATTGCTAGGTAACCTATCAGAATGTAAATTATTTACAGACTGAGTAGAAGTTCCATTCTTCCCTTCTGCTTCTGATGTCATCGACAGAGGCACCACCAGCAACCATTCTGTCACGACACTGAAAACTGTAGCTCTGTTAGGAGTTACGGAAGTGAAATGAAATCAGATCCCAAAATGAAAAAGCCACTTTCTCTTCCAGCAGCCCCAAAGCCCTGTCTAAATCCTGAGGCTCGAGTGATCCGGACACAGAGCATCTGGTGGACAATCTGAAGACGAGAAAGGAACAGGTTCCATCTCCCAGGCTCCCTGAGGTCAGCAGAAGTATAACTTAACCTTAACTTTTGCATATAAAGAGGTCCCTTTCACCTCAAAAAAAACCTCAGCTCTTGATAAAAGACTGTCCCACTGCCCTGAGAAAAGAAGGGAAGGAAAACTCTAAAAAGCCACTATTATTCTGAGATTTCTGCCCGCACGGACTTAGCATTTTTCATCGACTCTAACACAAGGGTTTTCACGGCACACTCCTCCCGGGTCAGTCAGTACACTTCCTGAACCTGTCTAGCAAAAGAGTTCGCAGGCAGTCTGCCCCGCCAGCAACATGACTGGTCACACAGCAGCAGACAGCACGGCGCGTGGCTCTGAGGGAGGTGCCCGGTGTGACCACAGACCTGCTGCCACCTGCTCCACATGGGGGCTCGGGATGGCCCCGCAGAAGGACGCATGGCCGGGCTCTGAGGGACACGGTTCGCTCCTCTGTGTCAGGGACTGCATGAGGCAGGCAGGAAGGAAGACAGAATTTCAGTTCCCGAAAACAGTAAGGAGTCTAGTAGAGAACGAGACAGGCGAACAGTGACAAATGTTGAGGTGGGTGCTATGAGAGGGAGAACGGCATTGTGACATGTAGGCATCAGGGAGAAAACAGAGGCGAGGAAACAGGTGGGGCTGGTCAGGAAAGCTTCTCCTGAGGAATGAACCCAAGTCAGACCCTACAGGGCGAGCAGGAG